TATTCTATTTGAGACCTTGTTCTATAGAAGTTTCCTCAAAGATTAAACTCATTCATCTTGGAAGGATGCTCTCTAAGACATGGAATGTTAGAAAGGTTAGACAATAAATGTACTAAGGGAAGATGAAATATTGAATTCTGCAGGGAAGCTCATTAAACTCAGGAAATGAGGACTTCAAAGGTTGCAGGAAGTCCCTGAAACTGACCAGACTGACCAGACATATTAGGCTTCTCTCTCTCCAAGCACATATAAGCTGTAAGGTCTGCTCAGAAACTCTCAGACCAGCTGAGCTGCCTCAAAGTGAAAGATCCACCAAGTTCTCTTCAAAAAGCAGAGACCAGCCGAACTGCCTAGAAGAAACAGAGACTTGCTGAGCTAGCTGCCTGGAAAAGACTGGTCTGAGAGTTTCTGAGCAGACCTTACATTCTTATTTGAGGAAGAGCTACCTGGAATGGACGACATCCAACCTGTTGAGCTGCCTGCAGGTCATACAGTATGCTCTGGCTTGGCAGGTTTTGTGAGCTGTCACCAATGCTGAGGTGGGCTGTGGTGTTGCAGCTGTCTGAATCATTCCTGTAAGTGACCCCCTCCCCCATATTCTTAAAAATAATCACAGTAAAACTCATTGGTTTACCAAACCGATTTTTTTTTTTTTTTTTACTTTTCCCCAGAAGCAGTGTCATAGAACAGACCTCATTATAGGTGATTTTGAAAGCTGCTGAAGAAACCCCCCTGGTTGGGGATTTATTGTACCTGGCTGCTGTAACAAATTACAATAAATTCATATACCACAGTCTTGTTCAGCTCTAGAAATCCAAACTCCACACTGTTTTCATTGGGTTAAAGTTAAACATCGGCAGGTTTATTCCTCTGGCAACTGAGGGTAGAATCAGTTTTGTCTTTGTGTTTTGAGAAATAAACAAACGTCTCATATAGGGAGGCAAGACAGTCCAAAATAGGATACCACCAAAATCCACTTTGATGAACCTATGAGTTTCACTCTGGTTGCTTTTAAGAATATGGGGGAGGGTTACTTACAGGAACAGAAATGATTCAAAGATTTGGGCATCCCCAAAGCCCACCATAACATGGGTGATGGCTCACAAAACCTAGAAACTCGGAGCATAGTATACAATCTGCAGTCAGCTCAACAGGCTGTCTGTTACAGGTAGCTCAGGTGTGAGCCCCTTCCAAGCAGCTAGGCAGGTCTCTGTTCTTCTAGGAAGTTTTGCTGGTCTTTGCTTATTCAAAACAGCTTGGCTGATCTTTCACTTTGAGGTAGCTCACCTGGTCTGAAAGTCTCTGAGCAGACCTTACAGCTTATATGTGCTGAGGGAGGGGCCTACTATGTCTGGTCAGTTTCAGGGACTTCCTGCAATCTTTGAGGTTCTTATTTCCTGAGCTTAATGAGCTTCAGTCTTTAGAGCTTACAGTTCTTAGCACATGGCCTTCCTTTCCACCCTCAAAGCTGGAGCCTTAATGCCTTTGGCCACATCACTACCTTCTTTGTGATTTTCTTACAGCTTCCCTCTTACAAGGACATTTGCTATTCCCCTGAAAGATCCAAGATGATCTTCCCATTGTAAGATCTCTAATCTCATCAATACTGCCAGTCCATTTTGCCAAGTAAGTTAACATCGATCTGTTCTACGGGTTGGGGCATAGACATGCCTTAGTGGATGCTTACTCATCTGAGAGTAGATGATGTGGGACATCTTTAAGTGGGACAGAAAGGGAATGAAGGGTGGAAATGCTTTCAGCCACCACTTGCCACGGCACCTCTCTGGATTCCCTAGAAAGATCATCTCACATAAATTATAAAACCCTGCGAGCAGGGTTAGCATTTGGCACATACTGATGAGTCATGTCGGCATGTCTGACAGACACTCTCCATTCTCAGTAAGAACATGGCAGTGTCAGGGTTATGCTCTCACAGCCTGCCTGCAACATGTGGCTGCTCTGCTGTACCACAGTGTCTGTCCTTCCTGATTTGATGAGCAAACTGTTACATAAACACAATATGATCCACACCCAAGAGCACCAGAAACCTTTGAGTTAGAAAGAACCTGATAGTTTATATCGTGACTCACTTTACATTATTGTTGAGGAATCCTGGGTCTGACTGGAAATCAAGAAATAAACTGACATTGAGAGATTTTCATTGTTGATGCTATACATCCGGGATAGCAAAGATGCTGAGGACATATTCTGTGTTTCTCATTTACTTTAGGCTAAAACTATTCAGTCAACATTCTACACAGCATGTTATGGCTGAATCATGTCCCCAATACCTTGCAGCTCACATAATAACTGTATTTGCAGAGAGACCATTTAAAGAAAGAACTGAGGTTAAATGAGGCCTATGGGGTAGAGCTCCCAGCCAACTTAGCTGGTGTCCTATAAAAAGAACCAACGGGGATACGTATATGAAGAGGAAAGGACACATAAGGACATGGTGATAAGGTCACCATCCATAAGCCTTAGCTGACAGAGGCCCCAAGAGAAACCAATCCTGAAGAGTCAATGAAATTCAACATGAAAAATGATCTTGAGATAAGAAAATATGAAAATAGCCCAGTAACACAAGTGGACAGACCTTATTCTAACCTAACCTTGTTTTTGGCCTACTAACTTCCGAAATATGAAGAAAATAAATCTCTATTGTTTGAGCTAGGCAGTTAGGCTACAGGCATTAGAAACTACCTAGGCTGGAACAGCTAAGCATGGTCCACATTCCTGGGGTCTCTCTTAGAGATAGATTACAGTTTTAAATAATTTTCAGCATTCATAAGAGCTTCACATACACAAGCTTCATATACGAAATATGAAGTAAGTAGTCTTCCAGATTGGAATGATGCCAAATTAATAAGGTAGACAAGCTGTCTCACACTAATAGTGATATATGAGTCTGATTAATTTAAATGTGAAGACTATTTATCATTTAATAAAGTTAATTTGTTTGGTAAATAAGAACCTAGGGATTTTTGGTTAGGCATGAACTACTGCTTTTAGCTCCCAGTTGTTTTATTTAGATTTGCCAAGAGTCACATTGTTCGATCCTCTACATATTTCTGGACAATTTTATGGGGAGAGACTTGGAAGTCATACCATGTGTCACACCAGACATGTTGAGAACCAGAGGGCTGTTAACATTTTTGTGCTATATGTGGAGTTTGATTGTTTTCCTGGGAAGTCAATGAAAACCATCTCAAGATAACAAAGTATGAGAATAACCTACTAAAAAGAGTAGCTGGGTGTCTCTTTAACCCAACAGAAATGATATTAAAAAGCCAGAGCACCATGGTATTAAATACCATCAGTAGAGCAGTAGAGCAGAAAGTTTGTAAACCAGTATTTTAAACAGAAATGTACATTTTATTTAGAAAATGATAGCAAAGATATGAAGAACACACATTTCTATGAGTAACAGACATCTATTAAATGTTTTATAGTAAAATATTGAGCTTAGTCTATTATAACACACAAGCTTGAGCTTCTATGAGACAGGGTACCTTTCCAGAGGGAAGATGTCTGTGTAAACACAGGTTGGGATTCTGGGATGCTACTCTTACAAATGTGTCCTTTCTGCTCTTTCTAGTAACTGCAATAGGAATGTTCACAAATGTTTAAGCTTTGGGAAAAATCAGCAAAATTTCCTGAGTATTCCATTAGACTTTTGTAAATAAAGATTTTATTTTATGTGTATAAGTGCCTATGTGTATGCATGCCTGGTGCTCACAGAGGCCAGAAGAGAGTGTTAGATCCCTTGATACTAGAGTCACTAGACTGAGAGCCACCATGTGGGTGCAGGGAACAAAATCAAGGTTCTTACAAAGAGTAGCAAATGCTCTTAACTGCTGAGACACGCTTTTATGACTCCATTAAATGATTCTTAAAACCATGTTACCTTTATGGAAATGAGAAAGATGTCTAATGGAAACATTCACTTTAATATAGAGTATCATTGGCAATTTAATATATTTGAGAACCACAACTCTCAAAACTTGTCCTACCAGGAGAGAGTCTTTGGAGTTTGCAGAAGGCTTTCCAGCACAGGGTAAATCACAAGGCAGTTTATCAAGTGCTAAATTTTCTTTAACCACCACACTTGTGGTGTGTGAAGATGTGAAGAAATGCTGAGGTTAGCTGATTATTTTCCATATAATAATAATAATAATTTTTGGAAGAAAATAAGGACATAGGGGTGAATGAATTCTAGACAACAGCAGGTGGCTAGGTGTTAGATGCAGATAAAACTATGTTTGCTCTTTAGGTGGCGTTCTACAAACTACATTAGCTCATCCACTTTTCCCGTCACTTTGCAGAGAAAATGTTAGATTCTGAGGCTCTAAAGTTACAACTAGTAGCTTTTTGCTATTTATCTCTAAACCATGGAGTTCTCCACCAGTTTTTTTTTTTTCATTAAAATATAATCCTAACAGAACTGATGTGTTAAATACATATATATATACTGCCCATAAACAGTTCAGAGTATGATTCACAACAGATGTAACAGAAATGAGTTCTCCTGTTAATCAATGTAAGCAATTCTGTATAAAACAATTCAGAAAATCACATCTTAAGACTCTACTCCTCCTCATTTATAAATATGTCTATTGAGTTTTGGACCTGAATTTAACCCTTGTCTACACTTTGGTACTCTGCCCTTTCTGTACTGGCTACTTCCCTCTGTGAAGATGATCATCTGTGATAGGATTTGAAAGTAAAGCCAAGTTCTTAATATGAATCCAGGTATTTCGCATCCACGTCAACAAAAGAAACCATGCTTTCAGAGAGTGAGAAAACAAAAATCTCACATGATAATCTACAGCACTGTATGAAAAAGAACCCATACATACAGCCCTCTTCATTACAGAATTAACCAGCCATTTCTAACACACTGATGTTTGATTTTAAAAGGCTTACAACCAAAGCTTTAAGGAGGGAAACATTGGCTAAAGTAGTATATACCTCCATGGACAATGGTCTATTTTTAAACACTAAAACCTTGTCTCAGAAGTTCCTCGCTTTATGTTGTTACTCAAAAACTCATCATGTTCAAAACTCAAGTTGTTATGAGATCTTGAGATCATAAGAAGTTTCTCTTTATTCGTAAAGTCTTTTTTGATTGCTGTTTGGGGAACGAGCAACCGATCCATTGGGTCCTCTTTGTTCTCCAGTCTCATATACCCTTTGCTGTTGCTCCGATCTAACCGGGGCCAACTTGGGTGCTTCCTCTGTTCTGCCTGCACTGTGAGTGTGGAAGGACCTCGGTCTAAGTCTAGGGACTTGGAGTGAGAAGAGAGCAAATGTAAGGATGTGTTGGATCCAAACTGTCTTCTCGCAGCCCCGGGAGACAAGAGCTGTCCAGCCCCAGGTCCCAGAGCCACAGAGGACTTGTATTGACTAGATAGGGACTCCCCAATGGAATTATTCCTTGGGAGTAATGTGCTGGCAGGCTGGAAGGACTCACCAGAGCTTGGCAGTGGAACCACGAGGGAATCCATTGAAAGATTTCTGGACCTACTTTTGAGGTTGTCTGGAACCTCGGTGATGCTGTCTATACTGGGCTCATCAATGACACAGTTATTAAGTTTGATCACAGGCAGCGTGAAAGCGCTGATGGATGATGACACGATCGATTTGGTGTCACATTTCTTGGAGCTGCTGGTCTTGTCATCGGTGGTCTTGGCTGGAGGTGGATAAAGGCCAAAGACGGAGACTGCACTGTCAGATAGCAACGGGGGCATGAGGTGTCCTGGGCTCTTACTTTCAGTCAACATCATCTCATCCTCCTCCACAGAGCTGTCCACCCGAAAGCTGTTCCGCATTCCTGAGAAAGAGGCCAAGGTGGTGGCAGCCAGCCTGGATGCACAGGGGCTGCCGTTCTGCTTCACCTCGGTGTCTCCCAGCAAGCCTGCGTACAGGCCATTCGCCTGCTTCTGCTCCTTGAGTCTCAGCGTGTGAATGTCAATGACTGTGGAATAGATATCCCTCATGTGGATGATTTTGGTTTCCTTGTCACGGTTCTCATGAAGGATGGCATTGGCACAGATGAAAATGAAGATGCCAATGCCCATGGTGAATGGGCCAAGCATCTTCATCTTATCGGAGTGTAGATGCTGCTCAAAGAAGCGCACTACCACACCGCCCTGGTTCCGAACCACCTGGGTCTCATTGGTGGACAGTGTGGTCTCTGCATCGATGAAATGCTCCTTCTGGGGCCAATATCCAAGAACTGCCATGGCGATTCCTATGATGGACACCAGCACTCCCAGAATGAGGAAAAAGCCAGATGGAGAATAAAGTCGGATTTTCCCTCGGACCACCACGACGTCAGCTCTTGGTCGCCGTCTGACTGGTTTCTGGTCCTGGGTAGCAGGCAGTGGGCTGAGGTTGATGTGTTGCTGGGACCTGGCAGAGTCCTGCCGCTTCAGGGCCGCCAGGCCAGTGATGACCCCACCAGTGGCTATCATAGCTTCCTCTTGTGCTCTGAAAAGAAAGGAAACAGATGGTCCACAGGTGAGCCTGGGGAGACTGCAATTCAGTCTGAGGACTGCTCACACAGGGCGTTGGCTGCTATTGTTCCTCATGATAAAGGTAGAGGAATAACTTTAAAATCCACAGTTGGGGAGGAGGTTATGTTAGTGGTCTAATGTGAATTTCTGGAGTGTTTCTCTCTCTATCTCTCTCTGTCTCTCTCTTAGTATTAATGAAGTTGGAGCTCAGGAAATTTTTTGGTTAAATAATTTTCACATCTAATATATTACTGCCCCTTAGCCACTAGCCCCTGCCCCATCCCCAGATATACAATTTTCATCATTGTTTATGCTATTTTAAAGAAATGAGCACTTGGGTAGGAAGACGGATGGTCAGTTGGTAGTGTCTACCTTACAAGCATGAAGAACTAAGTTCAATATTCCTTTAGATCTGGGTGTGGTGGAGTGCTCATGTGAGCTGGGCACTGGGGAGGCAGAGATAGGAGGATGGATGCCTTGGGGACCCAGACCGCCCAGCCTAGTGGAACCCACCCATTCCAGGCCAGTGAGAGACAAAAGCAAGGTGGATAGAAGCCTGAGGAACTACACTAGATCTTGACTCCTGGCTCCACATACATGCGCACGCACGCACACAAGAACGCACACAACAGTACACAAGAGCACATACACACACACACGCAAAGAAAAACACAGAATACTAAACAGGCCAAAGGAAATCTCCAGACTTACCAAAAGAATACATTGCAGCGCCCATGGTGAAAGTCACCCATGAACAATTCTTGTCATGTTTAGTTTCTCTCTACATTGTCATGCCCTTACTTGCCTGGTTCTCTGGACACCACTGGCCTCCTCACTTTTTAAGTCATCCTGATTCTACACTGACCTGCCTATTTTCAATGTTAGCTCTTCCTTCTGCCCAAAGTGAATTGTCAGTCCCTAGAGTCCCTCCCTGGGATGCTGGTCTTGATTCTCCTTTGGCGTGCATATCTATTCCTACATCTTTCACCATGGCCTTTATGTGGATGAGTCCCCAGGCTGTGTCTCAGATCACACCCTGAATTTCAACTTTCATCCACATCCCAGGGAGCACACACACATCTGCACACAGCTGGCAAAGCTGAGCACACATCTGCAGGTACCACTGGTCTCAGGGTCACACCTGGCTCTTTAGTGAGGCCAGTCCTCAGTCTTGGGCCTGTGTGGTGATCATCACCCCACCCCAGTTCTACTCCCCCTTTCAGCAATGTTCTAAATCATAGAAATGTGATTGTCCTCTCATGACCATGAGACACTTGGGGTCTCAGTTTCATCTTTCTATTGCAACCCTATTCTTTTGAGATGTGTATGAACTATCGCTGAGTGACCTTCCAACTGCTCTCCAGCATTTGAGGTCCTCTTTCTGTATCAACCAGTTTACACGGAGATGGCAGATTATCCCATGACACACCTCTGAAAAAGCATAGTAGACAAAATGAACCTTGCTGCCTGCAGATTAATCTAGGATTTCAGACCCTATGGATTTAATCTCTCTGTTCCCTTTAAGGTGCACAAAATTTCCCATTTCTCATTTATAGTCTATGTCATGTTATTTCTGAGACCATTAGGAATGTTTCAGCTAGGTGGGTGGTGATGCACACTTTTGATCTCTTTGCTTAGGACACAGAGGCAGGGAAAACTCTGTGTTCAAGGCCAGATCGATCTATAGAATGAGTTTCAGGACATCTAGGACTAGACAGAGAGACACTGTCTTGAAAATAATAGCAAAATAATGTTTCAGCTGGACTTTTCAGTTCTTCTAATTCCCATCAGCCCCTGTCTTCATATGCTGACCTCTGGCTAATCATCAAAGCTCATGTTCCATCTGGTTTATAAAGTCCTTCTCCAACTAACTGACTCAGCTCTCATGTTCACACACGCTCCATTCCTCAGAACATTTGAACAAACTTGCAGGGCACTGAAGATGTGTATATGTATATATTTCATGACATATATATGTACACACATGTATATATTTACATGTATATATACATGTATATATACATATATACATATATATTCAGCATATATACACACATATATACACACATACATGTATATATATGTATATATATATGCTGAATTCTTCATGCCTCATAGTCAAATTCAATTTTAATTACCACTCTCCTTATTCACTGTAGTACCTTGCACAGAGCCAGTGTTCAAGAAATAGTTGCTAAAATGATGACTAAGGAGCAAGCCTTTTCCCAGATTTTCATAATTAAACATATAAGCAAAGAAAATGATCATACAAAAAACAACACTCTGTAAGTTGGACAAATGGCCAACTTTAGTTGGTAGAGAGACAAAGGATATTTTAAGATTCTCTAAGTCTTAGACAAGTTTCTGAAAGGCTATCCAATTCCATCTTCCAAGAGAAAGAGAGAGAGAGAGAGAGAGAGAGAGAGAGAGAGAGAGATCTCCTTTTGGATTCCTGCTTATAACTTCTGAATTGTTCTTAAATAACAGGGTTCTGGACTGTGTGTACCGTTTTAGTGAGCTGGCAAGGAGACCCATTTTGCTATGGAATTCTAACTAGGGTTAAGGTAATTTAATATCAAAGAATATGTATAAGCTTAGAGCCTCTCCCAAACCTTGGCTAAAACGAAGCACAGTTCCAAATGTTAAAGGAAACACTTAGTTTATGTTGCAGACCTCTAGCCTATCTCTTTACATATGGTAAGCTAAGGAAAGATACAGAAATCTTTTTGAATAGGTGGATTTAAGAAACAGAAACAAGGGTCTGTGATTTTTCCTTTGATTTCAAAGGAGCCATGCTGAGCCACATTCCAAACAGACATCCAGGCCTTTACGATTTGCTAAAGTATTTTGTTTTTTACTTCCTGAGGTTGACTGGGAAATGGCACTGGAAGAGAAAAAGTATTCTAAGAAAGAGGGATGACCACAGAAAAGTGGAGATGGGATGGGGAGGGGAGGTGGGGATGAGGAAGGACTGGGCTTCCATGTGAGCTAGCAAGGTAACCATGCTAAGCTAGGAGGTAGAAGAAAGGAGTCAATGCATAGAAAGCCAAAACAAACCTTGCTAGAGCAGTTCAGAGAGAAAGAGAGACAGACAGACAAACAGACAGAGAGGCAGAGACCGAGAGAGAGAGAGAGAGAGAGAGAGAGAGAGAGAGAGAGAGAGAGAGAGAGAGACAGAGAGAGACAGAGAGAGACAGAGAGAGAGAGAGAGAGAGAGAGAGAGAAACTTGTTGGTTGTGATAGGAATCTTATAAAAATCAAAGTCAATCTGCATTGGTCAGGCCTAGCTAGACAGAGCTACAAAGATTCCAAGAACCACCAAAGCAAGGTTTGGTAACAGTTTTCCCCTTAACTTGATTCAAAGAAATCCCACACTTCAGGACTCTATATCACCACTCAAAGATCCAAACTAAAGCCCAAGGGAAAAGCAAAGAAGCAAATTCAGTCACTGCTTCATGGAGCTTGAAACCTAATGGAAGAGCTAATAGCCCAAGCAGTAACCAGCTGGAGGTCACTCCAGAATGGAAGTTTCAATTAGGAAGAGCCTTGCCCCAGGGTGCATACAAGAGACAGCATTTTTTTTTTTTCACATTTATCATGGTGAGAAATCAAGTTAACATCAATTCAGAAGAGGTGGAGAGAAAGCCAGCAGAACAGGAGTATAGCCTTCCTTTTGGCCAGTAGTTCTCAACCTTAGTTGACCATTTAAGATTTAGTCACTCTGAGATTTAGTCCATTATCGTCTTGGTGGGTAGCACGGCAGCAGGCAGACAGATACGGTGCAAGATAAGTAGCCCAGGTCAGATCTGCAAGCAGCAGGAAGGAAAAAGCCACTTGACCTGGCTTGGGCTTCTGAAATCCCAAAGGGACCCCAATTGACACTTTTCCTACAACAAGGTCACACCTAATCTCAAATAGTGCCATTCACTAATGACTAAGCATTCAAATATTTGAGCCTATGGGAGCTATTTCTATTCAAAGTACCACAAGGACTGAGCTGGTATGATCTTGCTTTTTCACCACATGCCTCTGCCAGGCTATGAGTCTTTAACAGAAACAGCCCTCTTTACCTTGAACATCTCAGCTCTAGAAATGTAAGCAAATCATTCTTTGTGTAAATTATCTAGACTCTTTGCTGGAGTAATACAAAAGAGGGGCACAAATTCCAGTTAAGAGTGGTCAATCCATCCTGATGATTCAATGTCCTCCTGAAGATTCTCCTTCCTGAAACTATTACCTTAGGAGTTGGTGGTTAACATATGAATTTGATAGTCAAATATTCAGTCAAGTAGCTCACAGACAGAGAATTCAGATGAGAAAAACTTATTGAGATTCATTGGAAATTGAAAATCTATGTTCTCTCAATTCATGGAGTTGCTCCCACTAACTCCATACTAGAAAAGGACACAGGAAATGATGAAATCGTAAATAGTCCCCTATGTTACCACAACATCTGTGGGGTGGTGGGCTGTGAGACGCAGCTGGGTGACTGGTCAAGCACAGGCCTCAAACCCTGGAGCCTAATGGGACAGTAGGTGTTCAGCCTTGCTCCTGGGCCCCTGGTTCCTTTCACTTAGCTTCAGCCATCCACAGCCCCTCCCACAGAGAGGTCTATGGCCATCAGTCACTTGTAGGAACAGTGCCTCAGGCTCTCCCACATATAGATGAGGTATCTCCAAGCTCTCAGACCAAGCCAATAGACGTTATCTGCTACCAGGCCCTAACCCACACCAAAACTGTATATAAGAGCCATATTCAGGAGAAGTAAGTGTGTGCGAGAATCATCCCATTGTCCGAGAATTTCTGTCACAATAGCTGTAACACTTGGGAAGAGATCTGCTCTCCCAAAGCGCCTTCAGGACCCTCTCCCCCCTGCTAGCTAACCAGCTTCTCACTGGCCCAGCCCAGCCCAGCTCAGTGGAGAAACACCGACAGGTGCAGCACCTGGGAGCAACTGA